ATTGAATGAGGAGAAATGAAGGATGAGCATGTACACTAGACTAATATATAATAAAGGTTTGCCAGACATTTTTCTGTTGAATATAAATCCTGTCTCATCTGGAAAAATTAAGTTAAAGTTAAGAAAAACTTGCTATTCCATCAAATATTTCTTGTGCACATACTATTTTAATATAATTGTTAAGTTCAACATTAATCCTGACTTTGAGTCTTTGAAAACGTTTGCTCCTTCATGAAAATCGGGAAATCTACAGTTACTGTGGCTCCATCACTAGACTGAGTGCTCCAAGGCAGACAGGCAGTCCCAAGTTGAGCTTCGACTGACGCAAAGCAGCAGAGAGGTCATTATTTCTACACTGTTGACTGAACATAAGTTCTTTTACTTCATTACTCCACAGAACCTCAGGGAGAGCTGGAATAAGCTGTGCAACTACCCAGCACAAGTGGCATTCGCCTCTAATCCCTGACCTTCTGGTTGGAAGTAAAATTTACTGAGGCATGGTGGAGGTTGAGTCTGATGCCACCTGTAGACATGATGCTGAAGTTAACTACCACATTGTCATATGTAATCTTGGAATATGTGAACTGGTATTGATAACAGTAAACAGCTGTTGGTTTATTGTCCTTATTCATAATTTACCTGGCACAAGGCAGATCAAGATTACCCAGCAGTACATCAAACATTTCATGAAGGCTGGCAAAATTGGCGTACAAATTACCACAAAAAAGTTGAAAAGCCTCAAAACTTTCCACCCTGTTGTCTGGAAACATTTGTATGTTGTCCTTTGTTAATTTGTGTGGCTCTCTTGTTATACTAGTACAGTCCAAAAATAGTGCAGCAAAACTGACACCAGGCTAGGTGCAAGGTGAAAGTATAAGTAAGTTTGCCATGTAAACTTGTTAGGCACAAAGAAACGCAGCCATTAGAGCAACAGCAGAGCAGCTTTGTTGTGAAAGTGTCTTGTCTTCTAGACGTTTTCGTAAACGTGCAATTGGAGCTTCAAATATGTATTTGAAGCTCCTTTGAAAGACCATTCTCCCAAGGCAGAGTCCCACTCCCAGTATACCTCAAGTAACACAGAATGGGACAGTTCTAAAGCGCCACCCAGTGACCAGTGAAAGTACTGCCATCACTTGCTCTCATCCCCCAGCCTAAGCTGCTGTGTGAGCTTTTCAAGCATTGGAAAGGATTGAATTTGTGAAGATTTACCCCAATTACATGTATTATTCTCCAGTCCAAGATGTAATATAACAATACCAGGTATCACATTTGAAAGAGTGTGTCCTACCCACAGGCCAAAAAAGGCACCACCAAGTGGCCTAAGCTATCATTGCAGTAAAATCCACTTCCAGCAGGGGCAAAAATAATCTGGATCTCTAGGGGTCCCCACTGACACGTGCAGATGATTCTGTTAACTGACATATTGAGACATTATATTTTCATAAGGCCAGAAAATTGGGATAAAGGTTAAGACATAACTTATTAAAATTAAAAGGTCAAGACATAATCTTTTACTGGTGTAATATTATTGTACATAAATGTCACAATGTACAATATGTTAGGGACTGACACCTACCTGTTGTGTGTAGTAGAACCAGTCAGTATCACCTTGATGAAGGTGACAGATGGTCACCAAAAGGTCGGCTTTCTTTGTATTTCTTGAGAGTCTAATATGTAATAGTCTTTACCCAAACTCACTAACGAAGACTATTGACTAAGGTACCTTTTAGATAAATTATTTTATTGGTTGCCTACCACATATACAAAGTAAATATGTCGAATCTTACATACTATCTTTTACTTGGAGGGTACAAGCAGCTGGAGTAATTTCTGTATTTCTGGCCCTGAATTCTACATTTTTATACAATGATTATACTTGCTTTGCAGAAAATTTCAGCCTGATTCTGCCAGCTGGCAGTGACATTAAGGGCCTTCCTGCAGTAATGATAATGTTTAACACCTTCATTGTCCTGGAAGCCCATGCAATAGAAACCACAGAATCAATCTTCATCTTGCAATGAATTATGCATACATAAATATTCCCCCATATTTACTGTGCAGAATATTAAATCTATTATCAGTTA